ATATCACGGCCGAGTCTCAAAAATATCAGAAAAGCCAGGCAGGCCTGGGAGTGAGCACGGTGCCATTCTACTTACACATAAGCCTAGGAAATGCCCCCTAATCTGGAAGGAAGGAATTGGGTCGTCGCTGCCCGAGGTGGGGTGCACAGAGCCTGACAGCAAAGGAGCACGAGAAACCTTTTAGTGGTGAAGGGCACATGCTGTGTCTGTGGTGCTGATTCCTCATGTGTTCATCTATCAGAACTGACCACCCCTGATAGGTTAATACAGCATGCAAATGAGACCTAGGTAAGCTGGGAAAGAACACAGGCCAAGGTATTTCCTTTGGAACCTATTTCCTTTGGAACCGGGTCTAGGGGACTTACAGTTGTAGCCCAAGGCTGCCGGGAGACATAGCCCAGGCTGGGTATGTCCTCACTCCTCAGAGCCTCTTCTCTTCTTCTTCTTTTTTTTTTTTTTAAAGTGAGTAGAAAGGAAGGAGAAAGACAGAGAGAGAGAAACATCAATTGATTGCCTCCCTCACAAACCCTATCAGGGCTGGGGATGGAGCCTGCAACCAAGGTAGGTGCTCTTGCCTGGAATTAAACCAAACCTTCAGTCTGTGGGCTGATACTCTATCCACTGAGTCAAACCGATCACAGCTCAACTCATCTTTAAACTGAGGCTCTAATTGTGAGTTTTACCTCGTGGGATTGCTGTGCTGATCAAGAGGGATATTCAGTGAATGAGAGCAATTTTTCAACTGTAAAATAACACAAATGGAAGGGAGTGCTGTGGGCAGCTGGCCATTGTGTAGAGACTTTCTTGCTGTACCCACCTGTAAGATCCCCTGGGCACCATGGTTTGTCTCCTCTTTCTATCCAACCTACCTGGGAAAGCAGCTGTAACCCCACCCAGAATCCGCCACAATTCAGAAATGCCGAGTTGGCCAAGTATTCTCAGGGAATCCAACCAATGTCAATTACCAGATAAGCTGGAGAAGGCCAGAGACACTGGATATTTTTACTCATGGGCTCTCCAAGTTCCTCTCAACTCCTGCCCAGCCAGCTTCGAGCTCCTTTATCTTCAGGCAGGGGTTGCAGCTAAAGCAGCTTCCTGTCCAGGGTAAAGTCAAAGGCACTTCTTCCAACTCTCTCCTGTAGCGGTCTTCTCGTGCACTGGGCACTGTCCAGATGTTCTCAGCAGGAGAAACGACAAAGAACAGCACTGGGACTCCTGGCTGAGGATCTCAACCACCCTCACACCCAATCCAACACAATAATATCAAAATCATGCTTCTTGTGCCCAGATTACACTTTTAACTTCTCCAAGTCCTTTCCTGCCCTGATATCATTTTGTCTTTTCAAAGCCTTGTGAAGACAGGTATTGCGATGCCTGGTCAGCATATTAATAAAAAGGCGTTGAACAGAATACTTAAAAGCAGCTAGTAGTCAGTCAGAAGCTGAACTGGAAGGTCATCTGACCCCAGGTCGCAATATCCTTTTGCAAGGTTATATCTCTCAGAGATTACATCTCTCAATCATTAGGAAACATGCTAAAGCCTTTGGCTACAGATAAAGTACCAGCCAGGGGTAGCCTCAAACCCCAATCAAAAACAAACAAACAAAAATCAACAAAAGGCAGAGCTGTGTCAGCCAGGACTCCACAAACACATTGTTCAGAGACTCACTTCCACAGCGGGCCACAAACTCCAGAAGAGACAAGATAAGAGATAAGAGATGAGAGCCTCACCCCCAGGCAGTGCGAAGGCAGGCAGGGGGAGAGGGCTGACAGAGGGCTAGGCCCACACTTCTCCACAGTTCCTGTGCAGCCACTCTCTTCCTCAGGCCTTTGTCCTTTTCCCACCAATCTCACTCCAGTCTTGACAAAGATGGGCCTTCATTTTTAGAACTTTTAGAACAGAACAGACTATTGGACATAGATAAAAAAGAAGAAGAGAAGGGTAGGCTATTTTGACTCCTTGAAAGTTTTCTTCCTGAGATCTCCCCAACACTTCCCACCTTCCACTGCGCACACACACAGACACCTCTCCCCTCTCCCAAGGCCGGGTCTTCCCCAGCACAGTCCAGGCTGGGCTAAAAGTCCTAAGGTGGAGAGAAAGTCAGCACAGGTCCAAGGGGATGGGAGCTGGAGCGAGCATAGCCCAGGTCCCCCTGCTTGCTCAGGTCTTCCTCCCTGTTACTCAGACAAGCACTGAAGAAGCAGCTATAGATGAACACTGTGCCCCTCAGAAGGCCAAGGAGCTCAGGGGGCAAGTGGCTTCTCCAAGACCACAGGCCTCTGGACTAGAATGGGCCAGGCTTCTGAGCTCTCTGACAGCACCAGGCCCAGGGAGGCTCCCTGTGCCCTCAACACTGGACCCCTAGTGCGGCCAGCACTGGCTGCCACTGTGCTCTCTTCCATCGGAGTCATCCCTCCTTCCCTTCACTGCCAAGTCATCCTCATCCCAGGAGACCTCTCCGCTCTCTCCTGCTTTCCATGTCATTCTGCTCCTTCCTCCAGGCCTAAGGCCTAAAAGGGAGGCTTCTTGGAAGCTAAGCCTGACACTCTTGCTCTCTTTCTTCTCAACCGTCTAAAATAAAGTTAACAGCCTGCTCTCTGAAATCTCAGGTGGTCCCTTCCCACTGACCTGAGTTTTGTTAAGAAGGCTGAGCACAGTGGCCTTTCTAGGGGGAGTGGAAGAGGTCTTGGCCCTACAACTCGGGCATCAGGACCAGGGCCAGTGCTTGGAGGCCAGTGGGAGAGATGCCAGCCTCGGTGGGGAGTGGGTCTAGGTCAGGGATGCCACAGGCTCAGCCCACATGGAGGCAGAGAATTCGAAGGAGACAGAACACTCTCAGCTTTTCAGTAAAGAGAGGCAGTGCTAGTACCGGTAGCAATAATGGTAGCTGTGATAGGTTGAATAATCCAGGAAGGCCCTAAACATATTCACAGGTGTCTTTTAAGAAAGAGATAGGGAGATCGGACTGACGGAGGAGAAGATAATGTGACCGTGGAGGCACAGAAGCCAGAGTGATGTGGCCACTAGCCAAAGAATGCCAGCAGCCCCCGGGAGCTGGACGAGGCAAGACGTGGATTCTCCTCAAGAACCTCCAGGTGGGGCACAGCCCTGCTGTCACCTTCATTTCAGCCTAGTAATGCTGATCTAGGGCCTCTGTCTTCCAGAACTATGAGGGAATAAATGTATGTTGTTTTAAGTCACCCAATTTGTGGTAGCTTGTTACAGAAGCCACAGAAACGGATGTAGTAACTGACATTTAATGGCTGCCCACTCTGTACCAGGCCTTTCAGGAACTATTTATCCACATTCACTCATTCTATCCTGGCCCTGGCCATGAGGCACACTGCCTGGTGTGAATCCCCAATGCACTGCTCCCTTTTGTAACGCTGTCTGTAACTCTCAAAACCCATTTTCCAACTCATGTAACGGGCATATAGCTTCCCTTCTCATTGGGTGGCTAAGACGATAAAATGGTAACAGGTAAAGTTAGAACTGGACATAGAAAGTTCTCAGTGAATGCTAACTACTATGAGATCTCAGGGGGTGAGCAAGTAAAAATAAACCATCTTCCTAATGTCAGACAAGGACCAGATTCCTGGACCCAAAACAGTAGGAAGACATCCCTTTAAAGCCAGCTTGAATGGCAAACATGACGGTCTGAGCAGTTAAGTATTTCTTCCCTTGCCTAAACAATTTAAGTCCTAACGCTGGCCTCATTTCTTGAAGGGAAAATGCCTCTGCCAGTGCTACTTCTGCAGCCCTGTCCAGCAGACTTCCGGCCCCTGCATCCCATTCCTGAGGACAGCCCACCGCATCCATCATCCCACAGGACACTCCCCTGCAGAGCCCACATCTCGTCCCTACAACTCGGGCATCAGGAACAGGCCCAGTGCTAGGAGGCCAGTGGAGGAGAAGCTTGGGTCCATTCCATGGCCTTCCCAGCAAGAGGGTGAGGTGGAAAAGTAGGGTCTGCTTTGATGTAGAGGTTGCAGCCAGCTTAATAAAGACTAAACAAGGCCTGCCAGAGGGCACCCTGCAGGGGAGGGCACCCTGCAGGGGAGGGCACCCTGCAGGGGAGGGCACCCTGCAGGGGAGGGCACCCTGCAGGGGAGGACACCTTTCATGGCCTCTGTCTTCCCAGTGAAGTTTGCCAGCTCCCCCTTCAGGGGATGTAATTCTCAGAAGCAGAGCCACTGGCTCCCAGGCAGTGTCCCCACCTACGAGCTGCAGGCACCCAGGGAGCAGGGCTCCTGGAATTGGTGCCAGCCCACAATCTGGGATGCCCAGCTCAGAGACTCCTGCTGCTGGCCCTGTGAAGACCAGGCCTCTCACGGCTGCAAGGCGGCCACCTGCGCGCTCAGCCCTGCCCCCCGCCCTCCGGGGAACCAGGACAGGGCGTCCGCGCCCCTCCTTCCCCTCGAACACCCCATGTCAGCGCCGGCGTCCACCACTAACCGAGCACCCAGGTCCCCCGAGAAAGCGCTTCTCCCGGTCCCTTCCTCCCCACCGGGGAACGCAGCCCCACCCGCCGCTCCTCCTACTCGGAGGGGACGGAGCCGAGCGGCCTCAGAGCTGGAGCCCAGGCGGCAGGAGCGCCGGCCCGCAGCCCCGGCCCCTTCCCGCCCCCGGACACCGGGCCCGGCCGCCCCTGCGCTTCGGTCCCGGAGGGCCTGGCCCTCCACGGACCCGCCTCCGGGGACCCGGGGGCGCCCGGCCACACCAGCTGAGACACCGGCTGAGCCCCGGGGCGGAGAGGCTCTGGGCAAGTACCAGGGGCTCCGCCCCGCGCCCGCGCCCTCGGGCATCCCTGCCGGCGCCCCCGCCCCTCGGACAGGGAGCGGCGGCCCCGGGAGCGGCGGGGGCGCGGGACGGGGAGCGGCGGCCCCGGGACGGGGAGCGGCGGGGCGCGGGACGGGGAGCGGCGGCCCCGGGGCGGGGAGCGGCGGGGCGCGGGGACCGGCGGGGGCGCGGGACGGGGACCGGCTGCAGCCGCACTTACGCGCGCGCCCGCGGGAAGCCCATGGACAGGAGCAGGTCCAGCGCCGATCCGCGCCTCACGGTGCCCGGCCGCGGCTGGCGGCTCCGGCGCGGGGCCACCTGGCCGTACAGCTCCTCCCTCGCGGCCATGCCGAGCGCCCGGCGTGCTGGGCCCCGCCGCGCGGCCCGCGGTCCACGGAGGAGCGAGCCGGCCGTCCGGGGGCGGGGACCGGGCGGCGGGGCGGGGCGTCCGGGCCGGAGGCGCGCGGAAGGCGGCGGGCTGGCCTCGGGCGGCCGGAGCCGGCACCGCCGCAGCGCGGGGCGGGCGGCCGGCCTCCGTCCTCGCTCCGGCGCCCGGGCTGCTGCGCCCCCTCCCGGGCGGGGCAGGGAACAGTTTCTGAATGGACCGAGCCGCGCGTGGGCGCCGCCCGGCCTCCCTCCCGCCCCGGCCTCCCTCCCTTAAAGCGGCCGCGCCGGGCGCCGGGGCGGCGGGCCGGCTCCCACCCGGCTGGCTGCGTGCGCTGAGCTTGGCGCAGTAGCTCCCAGCGCCCGACCGTTTCCGTGTCTCTTGCAAGACACCAGATCAACCCAACCCGAATTCCATGTGGTTCTAGATAGGGTTAATAACGGAAATGGAGTGAGCTGACGGATGACTTAATGAACTAGAAGGCCAAGCCAGAGGCCAGATGAAAGGTTTTGTTTCCCAAAGACCTGGCCAACCACAGAGGATCCTTACAGCACTGAAGACCACTCCTCCAGCCTGCGGACAGTTGGTCACACTGGAAACCTGCCGAGCTCTCCCAGACTGAGTGAGGTCAGAGTGGGCCCTCAGACTGGGGCCTCGGAGGCCAGAGGCAGGAGGGGAGCACAGGGCTGAAAAAGGAAGAGGGAGGAGATGAAAAGAGGAAGGAGGAGGAGGAGGAGGGAAAGGAGGAAGTGGGGAGGGGAAGGAGGGTGAGGAAGGAGGTACCCAGAAGCCTGGAAGAGTTATTCAAAGGAATGATATTCAAATTCCATTAAGGAACAAGTGCCAAGTGAATAAAAGGATTCGGAGAGAGTGGGTCCTCCCTGGTCAGCAGTGAGGAGTCAGTACATTACTTCCTAGGGTGGACAAAACTACTACCACCTCCAACAGATGAATTTCCTACCCGCACCCTCTCCTGCATGCCCGCACCGGGAGCTGGGCTCAGAGTTGTTAAGGTTCTTTCCTTTGGAGGTAACTTATTTTCCTCCGTCAGGGACAAGGGGTTCACATAGAAAAGGCCCAGAGCAAACCCAAGCTGCTCCTCTTTCCCGGGTAACTTATTGGACTCCTGTATGTGTCAAACATTGTGCTAAACATAAATGACCTGACTCACTGAATTTTTACAAGGATCCAATGGAATGCGTGTGATTATTTTCTTAATTTTACAGATGAGAAACCTCAGCTCGGAGAAGCTGAGGAAGATCGTGGAGCTGGTAAATGCATGGCCAAAGCTTCTGTCCTCAGCGGTGCACTGGGCAAGTTGCTCCTGCCTTCTACAGCCCCGCACCCTCATCTGTATCAGTACCATCATCGTTCCTGACACACACTGGTTCCTCAAAAATGTCAGCTCCTGGCCCTTTATGGAGTGTGGGGGAGGGGTGGTGATCAGCATTCATGAGCAGCTTTTTCATTTTGCTTTAAAAGACATCTAAAAGTTTTACCAGGGAAAATGATAGTTTCAATTCTCTTAGCCCAGAATTGGTTTTCTGAAGAATACCCAGAGGTATTTGAAAGTGGGGAGATAAGAACTACTGGGCCTTAAGCAACAATGTGCATACTTCCTGGGGGGAGCCTTGCAGAGGGCTTTTCCCGGGCATGGAGCACAGGGCTGGGCTGGGAAGACAGAACCTAAAAGACATCCTCCTTGGGAATGTGTTCAGTAGAGGATGGTAAACCTTCCCAATATTGCAAACTTCTTCCAAATGCCTGGGCTTAGAGTCAAGATCTGGAGCCTAGTCAAGAGCTACTAATGTCTGTGGAAGTTCTTGTTAACCACAGCGCTACACAAATCATAACTCAAACGTACTGAGACCTTTCTGTATGCTAGTGCTGCTTTTAGGTTCTCAAAGATAGAACTCACTCTTTCAATAAGGCAATGAAGTAGGTGTTACTATTGTAAGGGGTGGGAGGGCACCATGTGCCTGACAATGAGGTCAGACCAAACCTAGGTTCAGCATCCTCAGTTCTTGGGTTCTGGCTAGGAAAGAATTCAAAGCCAAGACTCCAACTATAAGAGAATGTTCAGTTATAAAATTACAGAGGTAGAAGTAATTGGTAGAAGAGATGTGCTGAGGAAATGAGTTATGGAGTCAAAGGAAGGGTCCTAGGGGCTCGGAAGTGAAGCTAATGGTAACATGAAGGGGCGTGGCATTGTTTTGGAGAAAGAGAAAGGCATGGCTGTGCTCCCGGGAGGGAGAGGGTCTGCCTTGGGTTTTAAAGGTGGAGATGTTAGGGGAATAGAAGATTCAGCAGCTTTCCAGGGCAGAGGGTCATCATTCAATGCAGCTGGTCCTGAGGTCAGCCATAAGGTCCCTGGTCTTATTTTGCTTCTCTTCTGGACCTGGAGCTGAAATATAACTGAGGCCTAATTATCTCTTAAGGAGGAAAGGTCAGGAAGTCTAAACCTAATGACCAGTGATAGGTGAGGGGAGGAAAGGCCACCCTGGGAGCGAGTTCCTACCCCACCATTGTTCTTTGCTCGGCACCTGGGGCTTTCCACTCTGGTGACCTTCTGTACCTGGCGCACTTCCTTGCTCTGCCCATGTCTGTCCAACTGCCTACCACATCACTTCTGTAACTAGCTAGCTAATATTAATAACAGGAAAAGAACAAATGGGGTGCCAGACATTTTAAGCGTGGTTATCTGGGTAGCTTCACCAGAAAACTGTAAATCATACTCCACAGGGAACTACCAGTCCATTCCCTGCGAGTCCCTGGGGGGAGGGACCCACAAGGGGAGAGATGGATGCATGTGCAGTGACGCTGGGCCATGCAGAAAAGCTGCGTCTCTGTCAGTCTGGTCTGAGGAACAAAGGTAATTGGCTAGAGGGGGCAGAGCACTGCAAGCTCAGAAGACCCCGAAGGATCCATTGGTTAAGCTCTTAGTTAAAAACCCCAAAGAATTCTTACTTTCTTGTTTCCCTTGCATGTTCCTGCTTCCTTGCAGGTGCTTGCTCTGTGACCCAAGCTAGCCTACCATGTGGCCGTAGCGACATGGGGAATCCACACTTAATGGCCTATGGCAGGGAAGATAAGCTGAGTAAGATGCTGGACTGGACTGGACGTGCTTCGACATGGAATGGAAGCTTGGGCAGGGGCCTTGATTCTAGCTCTGCTGCAGAAAAGGTGGGGCTTTTCTCATGGCAGGGAAGGAGGTAGCACCTTGCAAGGGAACTGATTGATGTTACCTCACCAATGAAGCTTCCCATGATACCTCAGCCTCCTGTAGGAGCCTCAGGAAATCCTTTTTTCCGAGGCAAACCAAGAGTTCCACTTCTGCCTGCACCAGCTGTGTCCTTTCAGGGTGTATTCTCCACTGGTTGATTCTGTTGTAAACATAAATGACTGCAACAGGTAGAAATGGTAGGGCCACCCTACTAGTAACATAGGTACAACCATATTATCACTGGCCACTTTACAAATATATTGAAACAGACAGAGGTCAACTATCTTGTCAAATATCATATGTCGAATAAGTGGTAGAAACGGGATTTGAACTCTTAAAGTTTGTCCAAACAGCCATTTACCACCATTGTTATGATGGTAAAGAGATACCAACCATTAAAATAACATGGTTGCCCAGCCAGTGTGGCTTAGTGGTTGAGTGTCGACCTATGAACTAGGAGGTCACTGTTTGGATTCCCAGTCACATGCCCACATTGCAGGCTCCATCCCCAGTGTGGGGTATGCATCAACTGATCAATGATGCCCTATCTCTGATGTTTCTATCTTTCTACATCTTTCTACCTCTCTGAAATCAATAAAAATATATTTTAAAAAAATAACATGATCACCTTTTGACTCCTTTTATGCCCCTTGACACAAAATTGCTGGATCTCTGTTTCTTCAGAAAAATTTAATGAACTGTCTTTGTGTGGGAGGAAGAAGCTTTCTTCTGCCCTCAAGTTTCTTTCCTAATAACCGAGTAGACATGCAACTGATTCACAAGAGGAAATAACCAACAGGGGAACCCCAAGTACATGAGGGAGAGTCAGGGTTCAAAGACAGAAAGGGAGCATGGGTACCTAGGACAATCTGAGCTAGGGATGAGTAAGATGCCTTGAGGGCTTTGATGGATCATTTCAGGACAATAAAAAAGCAGTTATTAGTGAGAGGGCAGGGCGGGGCGAGGATGAGCTCCCGACTCTGCCCTGCAGGGCAGAGTTGTCCCTAGCCCTCACCCAACCAATCAGGGTTAGCCGAGGCAGTGACATCACCACCAACCGGAGTAAAACCTCTGGACTGGGCGAAATTCGCTCTCTCTTCCGCCATGCTGCTGGCGTGAGTGGGACGGAGCCCATGTTAGCATGGAGAAGGCTCTTTTGTTTATTGCATCGGACTCGGCTCCCTGGTGGTCCTTGGGGATCATGAAGTCTGGGCGTTACAATTAGCAGTTTGCCCTTTCCAATAGATAATCTCTATTATGGGCAAGACCCCTTACTCAAATTCATCTAGGTAGTTAAGATGGGGCAGAAGTTTCTCTTGAGCCTTTACTAGAGCTGAAGTTTTGCCTTTAGCTCAAAACAATCTGCTACCACAGAGGCACAACTTGGGGTTGCTCTTTCTGAACCTCTAAATCTTCTTTTTCTAGGCAAACTGAGAGGAAGTGATGGATATAAAATAGCTTTAGGTAGTCTGGAGAAAGCACTATGGAAAGCCTTAGAAGTAAACTGTTTTGTCTGGGGCACTTTTATAGACATCCCAGCCTGACTACCTCTCTGTTCTTCAGCTTAGTGCCAGCAGCCAGACTGCTGCCATTGTTTTTGCAAGGGGTCGGGGGCTGGCAATTAAGATGCACTGTGATTTAATTGTATTGACTTTTAAAAACTAGGGAAAGCTTTATAAATGTCCATATTGTTATTTTACAAAGAGAGATGACTTTGCATCTGACAGTATCTCTGATGTG